CGGGCACGGGGGGGAGGAGAAAACATCCCCGATGCGTTGGCATATGCTGACGGTCCAGGTGCCGGTGCATCTAGTGCTGGGGCCCGGCCTCATGTGGCCGGCTGCCCTTCGGGGGGAGAACCGCGGACAAGTATGGTGCCGTGGACGGGGGCGCCCGGGCTTCAAAGCCCGGAAGCGTGCTTAGTTGTATGCGTGCGTGTGTGTGCTGGGAAAAGGCAGAGCAGGCTGGCGCTCTGTTGAGACCCAGCCCAAGAAAGGAAAGTAGCTGGTCGAGGAGAGGCCTTTGAGCCAAGTGCGCCACCATGCCAGGCACTCGCCGATCAAGAGGAATCGAGACGGAACGGCGGCGCAGTCCCATCCCCCCCGCGACATGGCCATACAACCTTTCGGAGTCACACTCCCAGAGCAGGACACAAGGCATCGAGGGTAGGGGCCGTGGCAAGACCGCATTCCGGTCCGCTGACAAAAAAAAGGAGGACGGGAAGCAGAAGTAGCGACATCTATGAAGCAGTGGAGTGCGGGTGGGAAGGAATGAAGTAGCACCGCCAGCGGCGTCCGGCGCCAAGCGGGCACGATGCTGGGACCCCTCCATGCCCGAGGTGAGGGAGTCTGGGGGGGGGGGGACAAATACAGGGAAAGGAAGGAAGAGAGTGCATATGTCGGAGTGGACATCCGGATGGGGGAGAGAGAGAGAGAGAGAGAGAAAAGACAACAGGAGTGTAGTGCAGGGGAGGAGATGACTTAGTGCTCGATGGCGCGGATGGCCATCTGCAGGGCGCCATGGAAGGTGGCATTACCGCCGATGAAACCACTCGCATGAACGAAGGTGCAGTCCTCGACGCCGGCCACGGTGGAGAGCTCACCGTCGCGGAGACCGCGCCACGGAGCCGGGAGGGCCTTGCGCGACTCGAAGGAGGTGGGCGAGATGCCGACAGCGCGAATGCGGCTACACGGGCATCGCATGTGCACAAGGCCGGGGCCGGGGGGGGCAGGGGGGGGGCGGGGGGGCGGGGGGTCAGTCACAAGTCGGCTTGCTCAAGGGCAAATGCAGAGGGAGGTGGAGGGTGCGCACAAGCTGTCCGGGGAGGGCATGAGAATGTAAAGCGGGCGCTGGGCCTCGGGGATTTCATCCTCGATCTCCAGGTCAAAGAGGTGCTGCTGCCAGGGGGCGAACGAGTCGAAGACCATGATCTGACCGCTGGGGTGGTGGTCAAAGCGAGCGCGCAGGGCGTCACGGACAATGTTGCGGGTTGGCAGCCAGGTCCCCTTGACGTGCTCGATGGCATACTCGAACTCCTCGCCGGCCAGGGCAACGGCCTTCTTGAAGCGCTCCTGGGAGATCCAAGGAAGGCGGCATGGTTGGAGGAGATGGGGGAAAGGTTAGTTGGTGATGTGAGCGTGTGTGTGCGGGTGTGCGGGTGTGCGGGTGTGCGTGTCCGCGTGTCCGCGTGTCCGCGTGTCCGCGTGTCCGCGTGTCCGCGTGTGTGCGTGTCCGCGTGCGTATGTGTGGACAAATGGAGGAGCATGCCAGCATGCCCATCCAATCACAAGTGGAACATGCACAAAGCGCAATCGGGGGGCCGATGGCAGGGAGCCCATGGAGGGCGGCGGAGAGACGCACATCCATGTCGGTCTCCTCCTCATCCCAGCGAGGGAGGAAACGGCTGATGCGGGAGTTCAGGGAGGTGCTGTCCATGAAGAGACGCTCGCTGCAGGGACAGGCGCCAACACCATTGTCGATGGCATCCACCATGTGGATGAAGGACCGGTAGAGGCGCAGGTAGATGGCCTGGAAGCTGGGGTCGGACTCCGGAATGCCGACCTTCTTGGCGACGATCTCCCGGCCAAAGTGCCGGTAAATGAGCCCGGCGCTGCTGAGGCGCGTGGTGAAGCCGTGGCCGAAGACATCGCTGAACTCGCGCTGGTGATGATCATAACGGTGCGAAGCCGGGTCATAGACCGACCCGACATCGTACACAACGTCAGCCGTGGCCAGGACTTCGGCGTCGCGCGAGCGCACCAGCTGGGCACCCTTGAACTCCTCCGTCTGCCAGAGCATGTACGTGGCCAGAGCCTCATCCAGGTGGAAGGTCCCGGAGTGGGTGGCGATGATCTTGGTGCCGGGCTGGGCGGCGGACATGGCAGCGAAGGACGAGGCGTCGGTGGAGAAGGGGCGCAGGGCTACACAGAGGTGTGGAGGGTAAGCGACGGGAAGGGAGGCAGGGCGGGAGCAGGGGGGGGGGAGAGAGAGAGAGAGAGAGAGAGGGGGGGGGAGGGAGGAGAATCGAGCGGGGAGGAGGCAAGACGAACAGGGAGGAAGGCTGCAAGGGGAGGGGGGTGTCCCAGAGACTTGGCCCATGGAACGGAGAGAGGACCGAAAAAGTCCAGCAACGGGTCTGGCAGCCTGGGTCGACGACCATCGGGGAACAAGGGACGCAAGGAACATGGCCAATGCTGGAGATGGAAATGGCCAACAGATCGGGGCGAGGGGAAATCGGGCGGGGGCGGGGGCGGGGGGGGGTGCTGGGGAGGATCGGCCCGCAGGACAGGGCGGTGAAATCAAAAAAGCCTGGTTCCCCGACCGCGTGTGCTGTGAGATGGTTGGTTGCTGGGGTGGACTCCCCCCTCCCAGGGCGGGGGAGACACGGCAGGGGAAGATGGGCTACCGGGGGATATAATGTTCATCATAAAAAATGGTCTCAACTATCCATTCTCCCGAGAAACGGCAAGCCGGACTCCAGGAAGGGCGGGGAGAGATTGGGGGGGCCGGGGGAGTAAGCAATGGACTGCGGTCCGAGGGGAGGGGCGCCTCCCCTTGAATGGCATTCTAATGTGGACGCAAGTTTCAGTCCGCCCCCTCGCGGGGAAAAGGAAGTCAACAAGTACATCCCACTCGGTCGCCACCGACAGGACTTGGGATTAGCTTTCTTGCTTCGGCTAAGATCAAGTGTAGTATCTGTTCTCTTTAGGTTAATACCTAAAGTAAAGTCAATATGACTTTATTGGTATTTTCCCTATATTTGAGGCGTGAACCACTTGGCTTCGTGCCAGGTGGATCGCAGGTGGTCGTGGAATCCGCACTAGCTCCATGCACTGCCTTGCATCATACGCTCCCCCTTTCTTCATTAAAAATTGAACCGCCCTTTCGCCCGTGTGTTATCCCTGTCCCTCTCGCCTCTGTGCGTGTGGCTTGTCGGGATTGTCCCTCGTGTGTGGCTCGGCATCTATATGTGTGCCTTGTTGTTCCCCTCGTCCTCCTTCCCCCTCCCCCCCTTTGGTGTGAGGGGACGACGCTGCGCGCGCGAAGCCACGGAAAAGGGGGCACCGGGGCGGTCACACGCACACCGAGGCCTGGGCCCTCGCTGTGTGGTGTCCATTGTTCCCCGCTCCACCGGGGCGAGGCCCCCGCCGGCCGGGGGCGGGGCAGGGGGCAGGGGGGGGGGGGGGGATCACACAAGCGGCCGAGCCCCAGGGCGGCCCAGACGTGGCCGCGGCGGAGGCGGGCACAGGGGCAACTGGCCAAGTTGTGCCGGGGAAATTAATATGAACCGTTGGCACATATATGGGTGTTTTCCCGCGCTCCCTGTCTTGGCTGCGCGCGCCCCGGTGGCCGCCAACGCATGGCAGACACCGGTCCTTCGGGCTTGGTGCGCGCATGCACACGCCATTTCTCACGGGGCTCCGGGCGACAAGCCGGGCCGGCGCCGAGCCAAATCTGTCCCACAAGTGTCGGGGGAGATCGCTCACGCGTCCCCCCCCCCGCCCCCCATAAAGGGGTCTTCGTGGAACAGGATGGCGCGCGTCGAGCATGCCCAAATGTGGCCACGGGGGCGGGGCAGGCGAGATTCCCGCGACAGGGCCAGCCAGGCGTCCAAGCGATCGGCAAACCCTCACTTATTTAGCCCTCAATCACTGTGCGAACTCCACCGCGCGAGCGCCCCCACAGTTCCCAGCGACTCTCGGTGTCGCTGCCACTCGCCAGCGCATGGGCCCTGTGGGCTCGGGTGTGTGGCTCCCCCCCCCGCCCTGGAAGAGCTCAAGGAGTAGCGCCTTGACCACGCCTCCCTCCATGCCCGGTCCCACCAGGGCATCTCGGGCGAGGGTGCGAGCAGGGGGAAATCCGGCTCCAGCCAAACCGGCCGACCAGGGGAGCCGCGCCTCTGGGCCAGCCGCCGGAATGTCGGGTCCTCGGCTGGGCCTCCGTGTCAAACCCCCCCCACCCCCGTCCCCGAGGACGCATGGGGACGCACTACGATCGCGCACTCCGGTTCTCTGGGCCTGTGTGGGGCTCCATGCCATGGGGGATATTTCGGCCCCCTCTTTTGGGTATGTCCGTCCGAGGGGCGCCTCAGAGCCCGGCGGCCAGCGTTGGTCCAGAATTAAACCCGCCCCGGTGGTGCCCCGCCGACCGCAGGGCAAACGACGATTTTGCCAGACGCACATAACGTGTGCTCTTCCGATCTGGATATTTCGGCCCCCTCTTTTGGGTATGTCCGTCCGAGGGGCGCCTCAGAGCCCGGCGGCCAGCGTTGGTCCAGAATTAAACCCGCCCCGGTGGTGCCCCGCCGACCGCAGGGCAAACGACGATTTTGCCAGACGCACATATGTCGCGCCAGGCGCCCTATGTCTTTCCCTTGCTGCCCTCTCCTCATGAACACAAGCCAAACTCCTTGGAAAGAGGATCTCGGGCGTAGCATCACAGGCCTTCGCACCTCTCCCACTAGGATGGCGAAGGATGGGATGCGCCTGTACCTGTATGTGTGTGTGTGTATGGCGGTGCAGATCGCTGGATGGGAGAGGGGAAGGGAGAAGGACCTGCCATCTGTCCCTCGGCTTGCGAGGACGGATCCCCCAGGCCCGCCAGGCGGTCCCAGATCGGAAGAGCACACGTATGGGAGAGGGGAAGGGAGAAGGACCTGCCATCTGTCCCTCGGCTTGCGAGGACGGATCCCCCAGGCCCGCCAGGCGGTCCCCCGCCCCTACCCTCCCCGGCCCTCCTGCCCGACTGAAAGGAGGCTGGCATGGATCAGGACACCCGGTGCGCGGGAATTTCCCACCCCCCCCCTGTCCACCTGTTGCCTGATTTCTCAGCCTCTCGCCTTGCCTGCTCGCCTTGCTGCATGTTCCTGCTCGGGTCCCGGCTGGCATCACACCTCTCGCGTGCTTGCGCCCCCTCGCGGCTGAGACACCTTTCTCGGCCCTCACCGGGCACCCTCGCCCCGTCCCAACCTCTGCCCTTGGCCAAGCCTCGCTGGCACGGCCAGCCCCCCCCCCCTCCTTCCCAGCCGGTGAACCATGGACCCCGCCGACTATAATATGCTCACCCACACGGGCGACAGCCAAGACCCCATGTTCTCGCCCTTTGATGATGGGACGCTCCTTCCGCACTCGCCCGAAACCAGCCTCGTGGACATCGGCCTTGGGCAGCCCGGGCTAGCACAGCTTCACAGCCGCCGGGCGGCCCCGGGGCTCGGGAGCCTCTCCCGGCCCGGACGCCCGGCCTCACTGGACTCCATCCCCGCGCTGGGGTCCATCAACACCGGGCCCGCGGACCTGGGAGACATGTCTCCCAGCGATGTGGTCCCGCCGCCACTGCAACAGCACCACCACCACTACCACTCGGGCCAGGGAGATGGCGGGGCCGATGACGAAGAGTATGCCCACTACCATCATGCCGGGCACTTGGCCGAGTCGGCCGAGGACGATGCCGAGTATGATGACCAGCCCCCGGGTCTGATGCTGGATGGCAGCGCTCACGACCTGGCCGAGGACCCGGGCCCTCCGGCCGAGGGCCACTCGCACCTTGGCGTGACGCATGTGCCCCAGCCGGAAGCCTCGGCTCCGGCCCGCCAAGCAGGCGCCCATGGCCACCATCACCATGACCATCCATCGGACGGCTCGCCGGCTGCCGGGCAAAGCTTCGCCTTCAGCTTCGCGCCCTATGTCGACGCCCCGGCGCCGGCAGGGGCTACCAAGCCCCCGGGCAAGATTTATCGCTCGCTCGAGCGCGTGGGCCTGACCAAGCCCCTGTCCATCCTCATTGGCCTGGTGGCCAGCGGTGTGGCCACGCGCTGGCTGGCCCTCGTGCTGGCCTGTTGCGCACTCAACGTCTTCACCTATGTCCGAGTATGTGGGCATCCTTGGGCCCGGCCCCTCTCTAGCTCTCGCTGCTGCTCGAGCTCCGGCATGCCACACCGTTGGGTGCCATCCCGCCGCTTCTAACCGAACAGCCTTCACGCTCTCGTCCCCTTCCCCCCCCCCCTCCGCCATGGGCCCCCATTGCCGCCGCACAGGACGAAATGCTTCTCGACATGCCACCCCCCCGCGGGCATGCGAACATTTTGTTCGCCGCCGCGGCCGCCATCGTGCCCCTCGGCTTCGCCGCGGTGGCTCACATCTTCCTGGTCCGGCGGTACCAGCGCGCGTCGTTGGAGATGGCCCTCGGCCTCCGGGCCCCGGCCCGGCCGCGGTCCCTGGTGGCCGGGCTGCTGATCATGGCCAGCTCCCTGCTGGGGCTCAGCTCGGTGCCGAATTCCACGCGCCTCTGGGACACCTGGGCCCGGTGGATGCTGATGTTCCTGTGGCGGGCCCTACTCGGCCTCGGGGCCGGCGCCACCATCCATGGATCCCTGCGCCTCATGTCAGCCGAGTATTTGTCGGCGCGCATTCGCTCGGCCAGCAGCCACAACATGCTGGGCATCTATTCCGGCCCGTCAAGCATGTTGGCTGTCCCCGGGCCGTCCTCGATGAACCTCGCACTGGCGTCTGACCTGCGCACGTCCAGCGGCGCGCATCTGCCGGTGTTGGCCGGCGCCGGCATCGTCCCTCCGGGCAATGGCTCCCAGCAGCAGCTCCAGCAGGCCCTGATGCTGCCTGCCACGGCCGCCGGACGTGCCGGCTCGTTGGCCCTCATCCCGGCCTCGGACCGGGCCCCGGCCGCGCCGAGCCTCCTGGGCGGCGGCAACAGCCTGCTGGATACGATGGCCGCCCCGCGGGTGTATCACCCGGCCGCCGGTGGTGGCAGTCTGATCCGCATGCGCTCAGCCATGAGTTTGAGCGATGCCCCGCTGCTGCTCGGGGAGTTGGGCGACCCCAGCGCCGCCGGGACGGCGAGCGGCCTTCCCATTGGCCCGCCCCTGGTGGCCGGGCCCCAGCGTCACCCGGCCGCCGCTGCTGCGCCGGTCATTTTCATGGTGGCCCCACCTGGTGGGCTGGCGGCCGGCCTTGCCACCGCCACCACCCCCGCTGCTGCTGCTGCTGCTGCCGCCGCCGCCGCCGGGATCAACACCACTGGCCGGTCTGGCACGGAGGAATCCTCGCCCTTCTCCTCGCCGGAGTCCCTCTCCACAGTGTCGCCCCAATCGTGCCTCCTGGTCAAGGGGGCCTGCTGCGACAGCTGGAAGCAAACCCCCAGCTTCCGGCCGCTGGACGACGCGTCGCACCTGTACTCGGCCTATTGCGACCGGTGCCCGGGCGGCGGGTCCGGCGGCCAGCAGTGGACCGGGATGACGCCGCTTCTGGGGCCTGCCCATTCGGCCGGCGGGGCTCTCGGCGCCTCGGCCTTCCACCTGCCCCGGTTGCTGCCCTTCGAGGCCCATATCAAGCCCTCGAAGTGGATCACCGGGCGCCTGCGCCTGGCGATCGTGGGCCTCGGGCGCCTCGCCGGTCGTACGGCCATGTGGTGTGGAATCATGCTGGCGGGCCTGTTCGGCGCGTCGATCCTCGGGGTGCGTCTCCGGAAGCGCGCACACACACGCACACACGCACACACGCACACACGCACACACGCACACACGCACATGCGCACACACCACGACCACGATGCTCGCCCTGGGGAACTCGAGTTTCCCCTTTTTGGCCTTTACCTTGCCCCGTGCGCTGGTCTGACTCGCCCACCGGACGGTGTCTCCTCCTGCTTCCCCCCCCCCCCCCCGCCAATTATAGCCCCGCTACCTCAAGTACGACTCCATCATCTTCATCATGGGCATGGTGGCCCTGGCGCTGGCCACGGCGGCGCTCTTCCTGCCGAGTCTCGGCCTGGGTGGCGATATTGAAGTCCAAACGCTGGCCCGGATCCAGGCCCTGTCGTCTCCGACGGCCGGCGGGGTTGGGGCGGGGTCGCGTGCAAGCGGCCAGCCCGTGCCTGGCGCCAGCGGCCCAACACCGACCGGCGGCGGCAGCAGTAGCAGCATGAATCTCGATCGGACGGAGCCTGCCCGCGCTGGGCAGCCGCACATGCGCAAGCCCAAGCGCGTGTTCTTCCGGTGCGTGGCGTGGCAACACGCACGCATGTGTCCGCCCCCAATCGCCCCAACCCACCCCCCGGAGTTGTGATCGCGCACACATGTGTCATGGCCGCCCCGGGCCAATTGGCCAAGGGCAGCGGGCGAAAGCCGCGGTCGACACGGAGCAGCGATGTTCCAAGCCCACCGCCATGAGTCGCCTTTTTAAGCCTGACCCCCCCATGCACCCACCCGCCCACCCACCCGCCCGCCCGCTGGGCCCATGTTTTTCGCTTGCCATTAGCCTCTGCTCCTCGGCGTATCGGGCTTTCCGTCGCGGGCACTCCACCGTCATGATTAGCTCCGGTTTCATCATCCCGCATGCGGTGCTCCGCCGGCACCCGGCTCGGTATTCCAGTGTCACCGGCTCGATCACCTTCCTGGTTTTCCTCCTGGGGGGGCTCTGCCACTTCATTGGCCGTTATCTGGTGTCGCAAGGGCTGAAGCGCATCATGCCGGATGCCCACCACCGCGGCCAGGTCCGGATGCATTTCGCCCTGCGTGCGCTGGCCTCCCTGGCGGCCATTGTCCTGGAGGCCGCCCTGCTGGGCCTGGCCTTCGCAAATGGCGCCGAAATCCCGGGATCCATCGGCGATCAGGACGGGCTCTTGTTGAAGACTTGCGGCCTGCTGGCCGGGGCCTTCCTCATCGGCGGGACCGCCTCCTCCAGCCCGGTGGCCCTGGAGCCCTTCTTCCAGCACCTGAAGTTCGATGTGGATGGCGTGCCGCTGGTCCGCCTCCATGGGCTGCTGGACATCGGCGAAAGCCGGGGGATCTGGTCCACGGTGGAGGCCGCCTGCGAGGCGGTCATCGGCCTGGCCGTGGTCGCGCTGCTGGGCTGTGTCATGGACGAGTATGGTGTCTTCACGGCCAGCCCCTGGGTGGTGGTGGCCCCGCTGGTGTTGGCGTACGTACCTGCCCGTGGATGTGGCCCTCTGTGCCTGTGTCGCCTGCATCTTGGCCTTGTGACTGTCGGCCCTGTGTCGGTTCTGCTGTCGATGGCGAGTCCCTGCCCGTAACTAACGTCCCCCCTCCCTCCCCCGTGCCTTGCTTGTACACTCATGCGTGTATGACGCCGAATGCGACCGAACAACACGCTCCCCTCTGCCGACCCAATGTTTCCCCTCCCGTGCCCTTAAAATGCGCAGCGGGTTCTTCCAACTCCTGAAGAACCTGTGCACCGTGGTCATCGGCTCGAATCCGGCTGCGACCAACAACAGCAGTCTCGTCTCGCCGGAAATCACCTCCATCTGAGCGAGTCAAGAAGGCTGTGTGCCGCCGCTTGCGCGCGTGCGCACACGCGCATACATACGCATGCACATGCACATACAAACACATGGAAGTAGGTGGAGCAAGAAAGAGTGAGAGAAAAAAAGTCAGACAAAGGGCCCGGCCCCCGGGTCACACCAAGCACAGGTGAGAGTCCCCCCCCCCCCCTGCTCCGATCCGAGGCTCCAGCTCACTTCCATCCTGAGAGGGGGCATCATCATCTGCGAGGACCGCAAGAGTTCGACGGCCCCATGTGCTGTCTCTTTGCGTCAGTACAATGGGCGGCCGCTCGGACGAAAAGTCAACTTGCCCGCCCTAGATGCCTCCCTTACCCCTGCGGCCGGGCCGTCTTCAAAAGAACCCCCACTCGATGTCTAGAAGGGAAAAGTCTGCCACCTGGTGCCAGCAAAAGCCTCCCCCCCCCCCCCTGTGTCGGCGTCTGGCGTACGTGATACCGACAGATGCTCCAGGGCTCAGTCACACTTGCCATATGCTCCCTGGAGTGACTGTACTGGATGCGAGTGTGTGTCTACCATGCGTAGCCGCACAACAGAGCACAAGACCCGGTGACATGCCTGTTAGGAAGCAGGGGCCGGGCGAATGGTCCACAACCCCACTCTTGCCGCCCCCTCCCCCCTCCCCCCCTCCCCTTAAAAAGCCGAGTGCAGAAAGCTCCCCTCCCCTGCCTGCACCGTATCATCAGAAGAAGCAGCCAAGCAATACATAGATACCCTCGACCAGCCAGCAGACAACATTGCATGCGCATATGAAGGGGCGGGGCAAGAGGGCTCCATGCGGGCCATGCGCTGGGGCTGTTCCACAGGCTGGAGGCAAGGAAAAAAAGCAGGCAGGAGGAATCATGCCAGTCAGGAGCCAAGGGCAGCGAAGAGGGTGGGTCTCTATTCCGGAGCGGCCTCCGGGCAGGGGCGCGGGCCTCCGAAGAAGCTCTTTAGCGTTGCCTGCTGAGCAGCAGCAGCAGCAACAGCGGCAGCAGCAGCAGCAGCAGCAGGGGCTTTCTTCGAATCCCCAGGCCCGGACGTGGGATGGTGATTTGCCGCGACCACCCGCAGGGGAGCGCGTTGGCCCGGCGCCATGACGGATTCCGCCGCTGGACGAATGGCCGGCCCCGCGGTCCGGGGGACTACCCTCGGCCCGGGGTCCATACGGGCTGCGCGATAGAAAGATTCCAAAATGGTGCCGCCGCCGGGCCCGGAGCCGGACAAAGGCCCCGGAGCTGGGCGCTTGCGGGCCTGCCCGGGGCCGCCTGCGGCGCCGGCTGGCCCGCCGGAGGTCCCACACCCGGCCGGCGCCAGGATCCCCCCGCGGAAGGGGTAGTCCTTCGGGTGGGGGATGCGCCAGGTGTCGGTGCTCAGCAAGCATGCCACCAGGCGCAGGGCATTGCCAGCGCGGGCCTCGGGGCAAGCGAAGCGCCAGCAGCCGGCGGGGCAGCCGCCCGGCGCACCGACGCACCCAGCCCCGGGCGCCGGCACGGCAGCCACCCTCAAGAGGGGCAAAAAGTCCAAGCTGAAGCGGTAGATGGCGCGGGCAATGTCCCCCATTTCGCCGGGATGCTGGGCGATGCCACAGGCGGGGGTGCCGCCGCAGCGGGCCCCCTTGTCGGGGCTCGGCTGGCCCGGGTGCCGGCCGAGTACCATGTTGGCTTCTTCGAGTGCGAAGGCGACGTCGAGGCACATTGGGCAGGAGCGAAAGGTGCAGAGGGGCCCAGGAAGACGGGCAGAGGGCGTGTGTGTGTGTGTGGGGGGGGGGGGTGCAAGGGAGGTGAGCAAGAGGGTTGCAACCAAGCCGGGTGACGTAGCTCAAGTGGACAAACCTTTGCGCAAGTTCAGCCAGCCGGTGAGCCATGCGGGAGGACCGGCCGGCATGGGGGTTGTCCGGGCCCCGGAGCCGGGAGCCGCGCTTGAGCCCAGGGCCCGGGGCCCGCCGGGCTCCGGGATCTGCGCCGCCAGGCGGCGCCGCCGTCTCCGCAGGAAGCGCTCGGCCCGGGCGCAAATGTCCGCAAAGTGCTGGGCGACCAGGCCTACAGGAGGGGGAGGATCCAGTTGGTCAGGGGGGAATGGGAGGGAGCCTCAGCAGAGGCCAGCCGAAGGGCGAAGAGGGAGAGCGGGGGGGGGGGGGGGGGGGACAAGCAGAGGAGAGCAGTCATCGCCTGGCATGGAGAGCATGCCCCAGGTGCCGGGACGTGTCACGGCACGCGCAGCCAGTGTGGCGCACCATTCCAAAGGAAGAGCACCCAAGGAAAGCCCAAGCCACCAGTGGTACTGGTGATGCCGCGGCCGGAAAAGTACCGCGGGAGGAGGCGAAGCTCGTGCGAGAGGAGGATCCGTTCGACGGTGGACAGGAGCCAGAAGCAGGCAGCATCCTCGAGGGCGGAGTCGGGCTCGGTGGGTGCGGCCACCACGGAAAAGATGCCGGAGATGTGTCGGACACTGAGGTTCATCACGGCCCCCGAGAGGGTGTATCCGGTGTCGTTGATGCGCTCTGAGCGGGCACCGGGGAGGGGAGGGGGGGGGGGAGAATATCATGCAGTCAGCCACGAGCCCGGTAGGCACGAGGCCCCGAGGCGACAGGGGGCGCATGTTCGTGCGTGCGTGTGCGTGTGTGTGTGTGTGTGTGTGTGTAGGGTGAGGAGGGAGGAGGGAGACGGGAGATGGACAGGAAGGGGTCCGGATAATGGCAGCAGCAGGCCGAGCAGCGTCACGGACCGACGGAAATATACACAAGAGTCGTGGCTCCGCCGCCGCCGACCCCGGCCCCGGGGCCGCGAGAGGAGGCCACCGGGAACCGCCGGCGCTGGTCTTCCAGCCGGTGCCTCTGCGAGAGGGTTGTCTGGGAGGAGACACCCGCGGGATTGATGCACCCGACGCCGGTGTACCGTATGGCCGCGCTTCGCAGGGAACGGAGGATGCCCGGCAGCGCGGCGACCTCCTCAGTGATGTCGCACTCGCCAGCCGGCAGGGGGAGTTCCGTGAGAGGAGCCGACGAGTCGGGGCCACTTGGACCGGCTGCCCGTCGCCAGAGATCTGGAAGTCGGCAGGCGCATGCTCGTCAGTGTGAGGGATTGGGCAAGGCACAGTACATCAGGGGGGGGGGGGGGGATGGGCGTACCATCCGAGTGCAGGGGAACTGCCGGGTACTGGAGTTCCGGGGAGGTACACGCGCAAAGATCCACCGGGGGATGACTGGTGGGCGTGCCCGGCAGAGGGGGCGCCCCGGTGGGGCGGCCGGCCGCCAGTGTGGCGGGTGTGGCCAGATCCCCGGTCAAAGGGGCGGCCGATGGGACGGCCGGCGAGGTGTCGGCTGTCGGCTGCGGCGAAGGGCAGATGGCACCACCGAGGGGCGGGCCATGTTGCGCGCAAGCCCCAGCCCCGGGCCGTGGCAGTGTTCCTGTGGGAGTGGACCGGGCAGCATGGATCGGAGGTTGCATGGCCGGCCCCGCCGGGGGACAAACGGCCTCCGCCCCCCGGGTCCCTGTGTGGTCCGCGGATCGGGGGGTCTCGCGTGGGCGTCTCCGCTCCGAGCGGGGCACCATGATCGGTGGCCCGCTGGACAGGAGGGCTCGCTGGCGCATGAGGTGCGAAATGGTCAACGAGCTCTGCCGGGTGCTGATGGTCCTCGGGGGCGGGCGGATGGGCGCCTCGGGGCCCGGCCGTGGGGAAAGCGTGCTGCCATCTACCGGTGCCAGGGGTGCCAGGAGGCCGGTTGGCGAGGGGATGCCTGGGGACGGCGGAGAGCCGGGCCCCACCCCGAGACGGCCGGCTGGCCAGCGAGACATCGGGCGGATGCCAACCGCGGAGTTCGAGCGAAGGATACAAGAGGGCGGCGGTGGAGGGGAGGGGGAGGGTGCCGAAAGAGATGTCCCAATGTATGCCGATCGGCTGTGCGACGGACCCGATTCGCCGTGCTGCCAGATCTACCCCGGCAGGTGGCTGCGGCCCACGGCGGTGTGGGAAGCCTGGCTAGCCGGCCGATCGGGGGGGGGGGGGGGGGGGGGGGGGGGGGGGGGGGGGGGGCTCTGATTGGGGCATGGGCGGCCCCGGGAGGACGGAGGCCGGTCTTGCAGGCACGACCACTGGCATGGTGGTGCGATCGCCGGCCGGCCGGAGGTGCCGACGGAAATGGGGCGTGACCGGGGGTCACCACACACTGGAATGATGTTCCAGATTTAGGTCCTGCGGGGTCATTCTTTGTCCGACTCGCCCAAGAGTTGAAGACGGCCAGCAGGGATCTCCCTCCCGGGGCGAATGGCTCACACCAG